ACTAGAAATGTTCTGTCTCCATTATTGTTATGAAGCCTCAAGGCCAACTAAAGAGATCACCATTAACTTATTGTCTGCAGTGTAACTGTCATGTCTATTGAAAGTTTCGATCTGAGCTCCCTCACAATGGTCCTTGCCTGAAACCTTAGTGACCCGAATGTTTCACCTGACTGTCTGTTTAATTATCAGATGTTTCCTGTGGCTTTCTTCGCAGGCTCTTCAGTCGATAAATCAGACGCCTTGTGACAGGCAGAAGGCCCCCTGATACCACTTCTTTCAATTACAAGATATCTCATCCTTGTTGCGAGCGTCTGTGCAGTCAATACGCTGTTCTTAAGAGGGACACAGATGTGATGATACTCTTTACCTCATTGCAATCAATATCTCTGTCCTATCATGAAAAGCAAGGCTGCCCCTTGTGCCCTGCATTTCAATTAAAAGCCAGCCCCATCCTCCTTTCTGTTGTCAGCTGTCCGGTCAATACTGTCTCATCACCTCTTCGAGCGGCCAGCAGCTCGACTTGATATCATTTTTGCTCACCTCAATTCCTGAGAGGAGCCGGATAGTGCATTCCTTGCACGTTGATTAAAAGATATGTTGTCTGTGGTATTGTTGGGACAATATTGTCAATATTTCCCCATCTCCAGAGACAGGGAGAATCTGGACTCGTGGATGGTTTCGGATTCTCTCCATCTATTGTCAATATAAACCTGTCTCATGACAGCCTAGGGGCTGTTGATAGATGCCAGAGAACCTCATCCTTAGCGCTGAGTGTACAATGTAGTCAATAGGATCCTGCCATGGGAGACAACGGATGTGGCACCTTTGCTCGTCGAGGTCACGGCACGCCACAGCCCTGTAAGGAAGATGGAAGGGGCAGCATGAAGTCAGCACCCAAATGACCAATAACTTTCAAAATTAATTGAAACTATTTGTAGGCTAAACCTTGGGTACATCAAAGGTCTATATTATTGACTTTCCAGCAGATTTTGTGTGATCTTTCTGAATTCTAATCCCTGTTAATGGTGGCGTTATCTGGTAACAGTCCATTGCACCCGCATTTTTGACATTAGCACGTTTCCGCCACTGATTGGAAATACATCCTAACTGTCAGTGTCGTGGGTAATGTTTATTCAAGTCTTGGTCTGATACCCCTGGCAGTTATTCTTCTTCATTACAGCTCAAATGAGAGTGGTGGGGAGAGCAATTTTTATCACCCTCGTATGGTACCTAAATGGCACCTAGTACTCCGTAAGGTCCCTTCCTTTGACGTTGGGCCTTTTCTATGTCCACCATATTTTTCGAGGCTTCGACAAATCCGTAGAAGACTGATGGGAAGACTTTCGGGATGTTACATTTATGGGTGTGATTTTATGGCGGACCTTGCACTTTCAGTGTTAATGGTTGTGAATTGAGCATTAAATATGTTGACCTGAGAGCATGCCCCTGACCACAGCAGTTTTTACGACAGTAAAAGGTTCCTCTGAATCAATGCGAACACGAGAATGATGGCAGCTCCGCATCTAGTGGAAGCTCTAATATTCCTGCTGTTAATTAAACCATTTAAGTTTTCTCATCGTAACTTTAGTGTGCTCATTCTCTGCGCCTCGCAATGTTTCTGTTTTATGGGGCAGGGTATCTTGGCTTTGACATGTAGGGTCATGAACAAGGAAGATAAATGTATTAGGATGTTCCCTTTATGAACAATGAGCACGGGTTGATAAGTTTTACAGTCACGGGAGGAAATATGGTGAAAGAAAAGCAATAAAATAAAGCAGCATCCGTGGGTAGTAACGACTTAGGAAGTTGAACTGCCTTGAGAAGTAGAGAATCATGTTGTCAGGACTTCTCTTGCATATTTTTATTTACATAATACATGTGATTTGAAACAGAAACTTCTGTCTTTGTAAATAATTTTGATAATAATTTACAAAGATTTGTAAATAATTTTGATGACTCAGACATAAATTTTCAAATTTGAAATCTGCCTGATTTGTTCTAGAGAGCAGATCTCCCATCAAGCTGTGGTGGGAGCCAGGTGCTTTAAAAAACAGCACAAAGAAAATTGTATTAAAATTCTTCCATAATCTCTTGCCTTGATAGTGTACAGGAGGCAGAGACACTTACGTGATGCCATTTGTTCCTTGTTGTTCTGTCTAGTCCTTGGGCATTCTTTGTTAGACAGGCCTGCGCAGTGACCTTGTGGCCCTGATCCTCCTCCTGCTTTGTTGTGAGTCTTGGATTGGGTTTCACAGAAAGGAAGTGGTTCGACCTTAACCCCAGCGACACTTCATCATGTCATGACACCTTTTGATATGTGTCAGGAATCCTATCAAAAACTTTGTGTTTCTTGGGAAACAAATGCTGCCGACAGCGGTGTCCCGGACTACGCTGCACTTTGCCGCAAAATAACCGGAGAAAGGGTTTCATCCGAACAATGGCTCGCACTGATAGAAAGGGGCTGAAGAACAAAGCAAACACAAAGACTTCAGACAATAGACTTTCCCATTGTCGTGCACAGATACTGCAAAGTAGATCTTTACGTGAGAAAACAATACGCATTGTAGCACGGGGACCAGCCCATGCTTTCTTAGGATGATAACATTTCTGTGATGTTCTGCTTATACATAATATGTGGTGAGAAAGTGTGGATGCAAATGTTGGCTAGATGGTGGAATTGTTCAGATTCAATTTTGATGTAAACAAGGGATGGAACGAAGGAACACTGTGGGTTACGACGCTTGTGTTGTCAACCTATAGTTTAAAGGGCTTGTACTGCACGCTTTTGCATCTCAGCACAGGTAGGCAAAATTAAATGTCTCAATAGTGACAGGCATAAAAAGTAAACTTTGGCACTGTGCTTGTTCCATTTTTCTTTTTCCTTATTACAAAATAAGTCTTACTATTTTGCAAGATTATTCTTTGGCACCAGGTCCATCTTGATAGGGAAGCTGAAAGACATTATGCAGAATATGTTTGTTTTCCATTGTACTTTTGTATTGACTTGGAAGTAGGACCAGGTGTACTGTACAAGGAACACAAAATGATTCTATTGAGCTTGACTTAGAACTTTTGACACTAGGTCCATAGGGCTTGGGGCAGAAGACAGTGGCTGGTCAATATATGATTGGGTTAAGTCCCCAGGGTAGGTGCCCAGCCAGCTGCAGTCTCCTAGCTGTCATTCACGACATTAATCATCATGAAATATAAGAGAACTTATCAATGATACATAGGCTGCCAGAAAATGGGAAGTGTCCACCCAATGAAACTCTACCCAATAAAACTGACAAGTTGTGACAAAGCCAGGGAGTTGTGGTGTCAGGATGGGCGCTTTGGTGGTAACACACTCCAGTTGGAAAAACAAAGGCCATGACCAAGGGTCACAGTCATAATTGCAAGCATTGAACACCTTGAAGCCATCACGAATAGATACAATGTAGTGTAAGGAAAGGTTCCTTCCACACTGACTGATAACAGATGCAGCAGGATGGATTTAGGCTTGGGGGAGGGGAAGTCTGGTATGGGTAAGCTGGGGGAGATGAGCCAACAGGCTGATTCCAAAGATATCCCAGTGTCAAAGCTGTCACACTTGGCCAAGGTGATGACTTCAGTATGGGAAAAAGACATATACTGCGTTTTCTTCCCATGAGAAACAAGGGTCTTGGGGTTTGTTCTGGCACAGCTAGTTTGTTGGGTGTGGTACAACTGCTATATTTAGTTCAATGTGAAATGTTATGTCATCTCTGCTCATTTTTAATGGGGTTGGTTGATCATTGAGTCATTGTTAAGTAACAATGTGGTAATGATGATTGGCTTAATCCTTGTTGTAGGGTTGTTAAATGTATGTATAACAGACAAAACTATTTAGTAGCATTTACTGCAGTATATGTGGCAAGTCCCAAAATGTGTAAACATTTGTTAGGTGATTCTTACAGAACACTGAGACTGTATAGAAAGCTGTATCAATGAAATAGACATTATACTATGGTGTCTAGCTTTGTTCCAGTTATCAGCTTCAAATGATCGATGAACGCTGTGGGAAAATGTGTTGGCTAGTACTAGTATTTTGGAGAAAGGGCATATTTTTATTACATTACATCTTAAATGTTTTATTTGCATTTTTGGATTTGAACAAAATTTTCTCAAAAGCAAAAATAAAGAAAAATAGCATTATGAAACACAATGGAGTCTGGGTCAGACAAACTTGATGATTTCCAATTCAATAAAGATGCCTCGACCTGTTCTAGGAAATAGGTGGTCATGTCTGGTCCTGATATAACCAAACTGTCCCATTTACCTTCAATCATGTCTGGTTGTTGATAGGTTCGTTGTCATGAATAACCAATCCATCTTATGAAAACAGGTATACACTGACCCAGCCTAAACCTAGCATTCTCATTTTTACCTTCCAGATGTACTACAAGGTGGTGAAGGATGTGGAGATGGGAGAAGAGCTGATGGTTTACATGAAGGATGCCATGTATCCTGATGGAACCATGCCGCCAAACTTTGAAGGTAAGTGTAAAGACTTAGAAAATAATTTCTGCACAGCCATATATACATATATATATATATATAAGAATATATCTTGATTAGTAGGGAGGGATCAAAAATGGAAATGCTGCAAATAAGTACAGTGATTTAGTTTAGTTATTAAGTAAAGTCTTATAATGTTTGTTAGCTGCTGTGAAACAACATTATCAAATGTAATGTTATTTCAGCTCTAGCTCTAGCCACAAGTGATATTTCTGAACAAGGGACAAGCATTGCCTGTAAAAAGACAGAAATATGTACTGGAGCCATTTTTTCTTTGTTCTGAAATCTAAATTGCTTTCTTTCTTTCATCTCCAGAAGAGAAGCGATTCCGCTGTGGTGAGTGTGATGACCTGTTCAAGTCGAAGGTAGCCCTACGCCGACACCAGAAGTACGCCTGTAACAACAGTCTGGCCATCTTCAACAGCATCAATGAAGATTTCAAGAGTAGGCAGACAGAAGAGCTGACATCCCAACTCTTCGAGTGCACAGATTGTGACCGCATCTTCCCCAACATGCCTAGCCTGGAGCGACATGTGATGACGGGCCATGGCAGCGAGAGCCGTGAGTTCAAGTGTGACCAGTGTCCAAAGTCCTTCAACTGGAAGTCAAACCTGATTCGTCACCAAATGTCCCACGACGAGCAGAAGCGATTTCCCTGTGAAAACTGTGACAAGGTTTTCACAGACCCGAGCAATCTACAGCGACATATCCGCTCCCAGCACGTCGGGGCTCGCAGCCACGCCTGTCCAGAGTGTGGGAAGACCTTCGCAACATCAAGCGGGCTGAAGCAGCATCAGCACATCCACAGCAGCATCAAACCATTCACCTGTGAGGTCTGCCTCAAGTCCTACACACAGTTCTCCAACCTGTGTCGCCACAAGCGCATGCATGCCGACTGCCGCCAGCAGATCAAGTGTCGTGACTGCGGCCAGCTCTTCTCCACCATGGCCTCCCTGAACAAGCATCGCCGCTTCTGTGAAGGTAGGAACAACTTTGGCATCAGCATGCCTGCCATGTATCGGGCAGCTTCCCAGTCACAGAGTGGAACCCCCCTCCCTCCGTCCAGCCGCATGCCGCTGAGGAACATGCCTCCTGCCAGCCTGATGGACTACTTTGGGACGGGAGGCCTCCACCCGCCGACCACTGTCCCCCAGCCTGCCAGCCTGTCCTCTGTGCAGTCCGTCCCACTGAGTCAAACTGCAGCTGCCTCCTTACTGTCCAGCCGCATGCAGCCGCCCGCCGTATCATACCCCAGCAACACGGCCCTGCGATCCCACCATCCGTCCTCCGCATCAACCGTATCAGCCAGGTCAACCTTCTTCCCACCAACCTCCACGTTCTCCCGCCCGCCGTTCCTGAATGCTGTTGGCATGGTACCACAGAAAGCCCTTCTCAGCTCTCCCATGGCCCACCTGCTGGCTCAGCCTGCCTCTACAGGGTCCACCAAAGATTCCTCCACAGACCAGGAAGAAGATGACAGCAGAGCCAAATCAGGTGCCAACACCAAAGAGAGAGCCACTGACCTGTCGGAAGGCAGCGATGTCTCCGATGTAAGCACCCCAACAGGAAGTGACCTGGAGACCTCCGGAGGAAGTGAGCTGGACTCAGAAAGTGAAGGTGATGGGACAGACAAAAAGTCTTCCTCACACAAAGAATCAAGGGTTGCAAAACATCAGAAGAACGACCCCACTGTCAAGGAGGAACCAGAAGATGAATCTGCTTTCCTGAAGCCAAACGACCAGTCTGCAGCCATTCCAACCTCTGGTGCTGACACCATCAAGGCCATAGCCTCAATTGCCGATAAGTACTTTGGTAATGATGGGGAGGAAATGAGGAGCATGAGAGCACAGCATCATGAGGGGAAGCCACCCGGACCATACCCGACTGCTGCCGAGACTGAGAAGCCATTTGACCTGTCTGTGAAGAAGTCAGAGAGGATGGCAGCACAAACCACTAGTGGGGAAGACCAACCTCTCGATCTGAGCACTCACCCTCGGAAGGGTGATCCGGACCACGCTAGAAACGTGGCCGAGTCCAGGAAAACTCACACCTTTGGGAGCCTCATGGCTACCACCTACACCTCTTCCCCACGTGGTAACCCCCGTCTTACCTATGCACGTCCAAGCCCCCTGGCTATGGACCCAATCTATCGTGTGGAGAAGCGAAAGTTTACAGACAGGATCTACAGTGGAATCCAGGAGAAGTACATGCGTCATGCTAACTACCCATTCAATGCCAGCGAGCACTTGATGCAGAATGGAACAGCCTACGAAATGAGCAATAGAGGTGGAGGAATGATGCCTGTTGGGGAGTTCCCACCAATGGCGTCGCAGCTGGCTGATCCGGTGGTGCGAGGCAAGGGGAAGGACAGGTACACCTGTCGATACTGTGGCAAGCTGTTCCCACGTTCGGCTAACCTGACGCGCCACCTGCGCACCCACACGGGCGAGCAGCCGTACCGCTGCAAGTACTGCGACCGCTCCTTCAGCATATCATCCAACCTCCAACGCCACGTGCGTAACATCCACAACAAGGAGAAGCCGTTCAAGTGTCCCCAGTGCGAGCGCTGCTTCGGCCAACAGACCAACCTCGACCGCCATCTCCGCAAGCACGAGCAAGAGGACCAAGATGCCGCATCCGGCAAGTCCCCAACCTCGGCAGAAGATCTGGTCGAGCTTGCTGACAAGGACGAATCTTACTTTGAACAGATCCAGAACTTTATCGAATCTCCAACCATCACACCCAGGAAGGAGAACACTGAGGGCAACGGGAGCTTGGAGAAAAAGTTCAGTCCCAGCAATGGCCATATTGGAGAACAAATGGCTGCTGGGTCTCCTCCAGCACTGATAAATGGAAACAAGCAAAGCTCTCCAGACAACACCCCCGGTGAGGAAGATGACGTGATGGCTGACAAGGAAGCGGAGACTCATAAGGTGAACGGGCGCCCCAAACATGCAGAGGAGGGCGACAAGAAACCGGCTGGCATCAATGGTCAGCACGGGCTGGGAAAACTGCTCAATGGCGACCCGCTGGATTACAAACCCATCTCCGAAACGACGATGGACGACATCAGCGTGGACGTGGTAGACTACTACGGTGGAGTTATGGGAGAAGCTGAGTCAGACGGGGGGGAAAGGTCAAACAGGCAACGTCGGTCCAAAACACAGGCCTACTCCATGATGCTGTCACTGTCAGATGAAGAAGAGATGGCCATGGACGACAAACATCGTGGGCCACGGCTTCGGAGCATGCGAAGGTCACTTAGAGTCGGCGGTCAAGATGGGGAACATGCATAGAAACAAGAGAAAAGGAGAAGTTAGGACTATCAGGTTTCTTGACGAGACATCTTGTGTCAAACCAACATGGCAAAAAATGCTGATTGTCCCTAGATCTGTTCTCAACATTTTGTTTAATGCCCAGTGTCAGTTGTTCTGCTAATCTACACTTTCAAGGAAGTGTAGCTGCTGTGCCATATTCAACATTCAAGCACATACACAAAATTGACCAAGATCAGTTAATTATTTTTTATCTGTTTGGGCACACTTGTCTTGGATCTGCTTACACTTAAGGTGTAAATTGCTCTGTTTCTTGAGTGTAGATATTGGAAGGAATAAGCACCCCCTTTTTCTCCTACTAGAACTTAAAGTTTGTTTTTGCATAGCTCCTTTAAAATTCAACCCATTTCCTTCATTGAAAAGGAAAAGCTTTGTGGTTTTATAAAAATCTGTCTCCATGATTTCTCAGACAGTGCTCCCACTGTTTTTTAAGCAAGTGTTTTTTTTTTGCCTTTGTTGATCTAACACAACTGGCAGTTGAAAGACTGTCTTTTTATGTAATTGGTGAAAAGATGGGAACTTGTGTGTCTGTATGGCACAGGGGAACCTATGGGCACTGGTGCTACTCCTGCCAATCCAAATGAGTGGAAATCTCAAGCTTTAAAGTGAATCTGTACATATATGGGAACAAATTCAGATCTTCAATCAGATGTTGTGAGACCTTTTTTGTTTTGTTTTTGAAAATCCAATGTAAATAGAGAATGAGGTCAATGACTGTGTCTGTGTGCCATGAAATGAATAGTAAATAGTGTTAGAGATGTCCATATATCAGAATGTATACATATGTAGAAAGGAAATGAGTGTAGCGGATGTGAGAAAAACATGTAGAAAACAATGTTGCATTGAATTAGTGGAACTTCAGTGAACCTAAGTGATTGTTCATCTCAAGTGAAATACCTTTGATGCTAGAGTAATAGACGTAAGTATTTCAAGTTGTTTTATAATTGATTCTTTAAAGTAAAATATTATAGGGTTTCTTGTTGTAGCTTGAAGTGCCAAGTAGTGAATGTAGACATTACAGTAACATACTGTAGTAACTGCCAACTCTGTAATACTGGCTGTGAAAACTGCCAGGGAACTTTTTACTCCATCCATTGTGCCAAGCATTGCAAGTTGTGTGAATTGTACAGTAAATGATCAGAAGTAGTGGTAATTAATTAATAGTGGTAATTTTACCAAGTGTGAATGGGTAATATGAACTTCCTTATTTGGCCTCAAAGGCCCCCCACAAAATCTTTCTTCAGTGATTTTAGTGCCAAATGATACATTCATGTTATGTATTGTTCAGTACAGTTCCCCTTCAGTTTAAGGGAACACATTAGTGCTATAGTTTGTCTGAAAGGTAAGGCCAAATTACGTTCCGGCTAACACAGATAGGAGATTCACAGATGTCAGTGAAAAAGTCATCAAGCTTCCTTGTTACATAGACACATAACTCTGGTGATGAACTGAACCTGGTCTGACCCTGAGGGTCTGAGGACTCAAGAACACAGATACTGTCATACTCCATACTACAACATTCCATATTATCAATCTCTGTATTGTTGACCAATCATGAGCACAACAAGTGTTTTCTATATTCCTCCATGTATTTGACAGGGCATTTGTTTTGTCACTTGTGTTTGAAAGCTCTGGTTTTGTGTCAACATAAAATAGATGCAGGGATTTTATGAAAGTAGTATTTTGGCAACTATGTCAAATGCTGAATTCTTCTAAAGCTTCACAACTTCCAAATTGATGATTATATAGATGTTTGTATAAACTGTGCCATACACGACCTGGACTGACTAGAAGAGCCACCCTGCAGTTTATGATAAAACTGCAAGTGAGCATTGCAAAGTGAGCATTTCCCCCATTATAGCTTTCAATGGTTAAACTCAATACTTGTATCATGCATCTTATGTGTGACAACATCAGATATAGGAGTTTCAGAATATCATAAAATATTACAATTGGTGGATTTCTGTGAAATAACTAGCTTTGTGATTTGATCACTATTTTAATAATTGTAAGACCTGAATTGACAACTTGGAGAAAGTATTATTCAATAGCTAATTAATTATGAGGGAACAAATTTATCCGATGTAAGAGGACCACGTGATTCCAAAGATTTTCTACTGATTTGAATATTCATCAGATCTCTGTTGTCGTTTGTGTACAGTATTTTGAGTGGAATGCTTTTTGATTTTTTCCTTAGTGTATTGTTCTGCAGCTGTTTGATTGTATTCCGCTAGTCTCTGGCTAGTGCGTATTGTTGCGTTCAGTGCTGGCACACCGCTATTTATTCAAATGTTTTTTGCAAGTTTGTTGTGCATTTAGAAGGTAGAGACTTTGGTTCTTTCGTTACCGATAAAGTGTTGAATAGAAGATACAGTGAACATTTCAAAAATTGTGTAATTTTATCTTTCACTTGAATGGGAATAACGTGTTTTTTAGTCAGTGTTTATAGGTGGCATTTTTAGACTTGTGAACGAGTCACTACAGTCAATTCATAATGTTTCTTGCAATTGTTTTTGCTAAGCTTCACTGCTTGTATTCGCTGAGCGGAAAATGTTTGACTATTGTAATAAATTTGGCTTTGCCATGAGAGAATTGTGTCTCTGTCTCAGTCAACATTTAGTAATACACATGGCTTGTAGGCTATAGTACATTATGTACATAATCAAGTTGTCCAAAAAGACAGTTGAGTATACTACTTTCATGATTGTATGCCATATGTCATACATTTTCTACGTAACATCACTTCTTACATGCAAAATATAATGGCCCTTGGGTTCATGTAGAATTTTGAGCCATCTAGAGAGTAGGAAAACAATTATAGAAATTGTGGCTTTACAAATGTCTGTCATAAACCCTGGAAATTTCTTACTTTTTTTGCTGTTGGTCGTATGTCCGATTTACCTCCCAAACCTTGGAACGTTATAACAATTTAAAATTTTAATGGAAGGTAGACAAATGAAGACGATAAAAAGAAAAGCGTATTTGGCATTTGGAGAAGTTATTCACCTATCGGTAGTAAGAACTTAGTTATTATACACGGCAGTACTAGTAATGAAGTAACTCGCTCTTTAAATTTCTTCTGATTCCCTACCTTCTAAAGAAAGTAACCTTTTGTTTGCAGTCCTAAGTAGGTAGAAGATTCCCAAATACAGTTAGGAATTGATGAAGGCTGCGGTCAAGGAGGTGAAACCACGCGGTTGCCCCTATACACATCAGATATTTATCACTGTATAGGTGCTCACTTCGATTTCACTAAACATGAAGTTACAACCCTGTCTTTTGTAACGGTCTTTAAGCGACACCTAGCGAGAAAAGGGTTAGGTACAAAGGAATCGCTTGTATATACATGTACATACACTACTAGTATATACTAGCGAATTAGCGCTATAGTCTAATACTACGTAAATTCGATTTCTCGTTTCTCAATTCAATTCAATTCAATTTATTTATTTAACCAGTAATTACAACTCAGGCCAATTTGGCCTGCTTTTCAGGTAATCCTGGATACATATAAAAATACACACAACAAATATACATTACATAAACTATTACTAAATTACAACATCCTAAACATTAAGAGTGTCAAATCCTGCACCTAATGCTCTGTATAAAAGTCCTAAGAAGTCCTGCTCCTAATTATCTGTATTAAAAGTCCTGAGAAGTCCTGCTTCTAATGTTCTGTTTAAAAGTCCTGAGAAGTCCTGCTTCTAATGTTCTGTTTAAAAGTCCTGAGACTAAGGAGCTGTCGTTGCTGTAGCGGAAGAGTGTTCCACAGGTAAGGACCATAGTACTGCAGACTGCTCCGGTATGCCGTGACTCTTACTGGTGGACAGAAGAGTAGGTGAGGGTCGTAGTCCCTAAGACGCTTTAACTCTGAGCGAGTAGTCCGTACGCTTAATGTTGGAGGAGTCTCCCACTTGAACAGAGATGCCATGTACACCGGCGCACTACCACGAATTGCCTTCAATGATGAAAAGATAAGAGCATAATTGGTTCCCTGGTGTTTCTCGCCACTCCTTTATCTCTGGCTCCCTTTGCTTGAGGCTGAAGAATGCACATTCCTACATGATTGTCCCTTCTGTGATACCTTTTCATGAAACATCTGAAACCTGTATACACAATGGAACGTTACCTTCACATCAAAGACGTCGATGTTAGATCAGCCATATGTAAGCTTAGAGTTAGCGCACATGCATTAGAAATAGAAAAGGGTAGATACAAACAATTGCCTGTTAACGACAGAATATGTAAATATTGTACAGGAAACGCAGTGGAGGATGAAATGCACTTTATTTGTCATTGCTCTCATTATAGCACCGAAAGAGATCAGTTATTTGAAATGGCCACCAAAATGTTCCCCAGCTTTATTCACCTTCCCAGCCTACAAAAAACTGCATTTCTATTAACACCTCCCAATTCATATATCTCGCAAAACGTCGGCCGTTTCATACTCCACTGCACACGGAAAAGAAATCAAACCCAACAATAACCACAAATGTATATATAAAGTAGCATTAGCATCACTTATTATCATTCTACTGTTTACTATTAGTATCATGTTCTTGCAATTAGCCCTCGGGCATGAATTTGCAATAAACTTTCTTTCTATAATTATACGTAAATTCGACTTCTCCTCGTTTCTCTATGATGGTGAAAAGATAAGAGCATAATTGGTTCTCTGGTGTTTCTCACCACTCCTTTGTCTCTGGCTCCATTTGCTTGAGGCTGAAGAATGCACATTCCTACATGATTGTCCCTTCTGAGATGCCTTTTCAGGAGTTGCTGGTGTGGGGTAACGAATTTTCCAGTAAGTGGACATTTAGGTCAACTTGCAGATGCCTTATGTTACATTTTTTTTGCACAAAAATTGCAATATTTTAATTTAAAATATCTTAATGGGATCGATTGTAATTTACATTGATTTTTCCACATATTTGTGCAGTTTACTCACATTTCTGACATTTATGGCTGGCATTAAACAGCACATGAGGCGCACTCATCAATAATTGGCCCCGCAAGATATTTTTCTTGCCGTTTAATGCTTTGTGCCTTGGAATAAAGAATTGGATCCACACATTTCGTTTGATGACAGTAAACTATGCCACTGATAACAGCGTCTTTTGTTCAGCAAGAATTGTCGCCTGAGGTGTGCATGTCAGGTGAGAGTCGCAACCGGGATTCGAAATCCCAAGCTTGCATGGTCCAGAGGCAGAGTCTATAACCATTGGACTATGCATGCATGCCGCAGCTATTCTAGGGCTTCTGATGGTTTCACAATAAAATGTCAACTTTTGCCCTATGTCATTTTTTTCACAAAAAAAAAGTTTAAATCGCCTATAAGTTTGACAGAAGTCTACATCAACGATCATGATGCGATCAGCGTGCAATGATGAAAAGAATCCCATATTTCATTTGGTTTGATAGATTATTGGGACCAAATAACATAAACATATTCAACAAGAAGCGTACAAATCCCCCAGGTTTATTTTTCCACGCAACTGACTAATTTGCATCATCCCTGTCCTGACTTCTCCAACTTGTTTTCATACAATGATAATTTTATCCGTGAGTGGGTAATTTTTTTTTTAGGGGGGGGGGCATATGGAGGATGCAATTTCTCCTGCAATTTTGATGCTGATTCATTGGTTTACATAGTAATAAAGAAAGGCATGTCCAAAAAAGGATTATGTTTTTACGAAGCAATGCGTCATTTAGAAGCAATGCGTCATTGAGAAGCAATGCGTTATTGAACAACCTTTACAATGTGAAATAGAAAATATCTTTGAACACAAAATTGGTTTATTTGATCAAAATGACAAGAGGAGGACCTGACTATCTACCTATCATCAAGCTCACTTAAGTACAGCATCAATATTTACAGGCCAACTTCTAGCGTGGTAATTGCCTCAGCTATATTGAATCTAAATGAAATACACAGAAACAAAATAATTTTTTTGACATGTTACTTTTAATACACCAAGAGTTGAAGTACATTTTCGTCAGACGAGAACATCGTCATGTCACAGCAGTTGGTTAACTGGGGAAAGCGATATCTGCGGAGTAACTTCCATAACGTTATATGACCGGCAAACTAAAATGCAGCTGGGAATAAGACACTCGTGTAGGCCATACAGCTAGCTGTTTGAAATGTTTATCGTTAATTAGTTATATACTGTCTCTATAACCCTTTACCAGTCAAACAACTTAAAAAAAAACACCCGAAAAAATGCCAATGCCAATACCATTGGCCCTACAACTACGGGGCAAGACTATGATTTTTCAGATATTTTGTTATTAGATGTCTGGTCATAACATCTTCCTTTCATTCTTCAATTTTTGCCCTGAATCCTCTTCTCCTAAGCTTGCC